TTTACTACGCATACTTCTTAGAGTTACTTATTAAGAGAATTATTTTCAATACACTCGTTTTTTCCATTGCATAGTTTATGTTTGACAGTCGGATCGAAGAAAAAAAAATCGGGTTTGTAAAAGCATTTCTCTATTTTCGGGTTAACTAAATTCAGATAGTACTTAACATCGTTATACGAATCGAACCTGGTGGCTGGAATATTTGGAGTATGATTCTCTCCCTTTTTAGTCTCCATCTTCTTTTCTCCATTCATATTTGAACGATTACGATTAAGTCAAGTCAACTTTTTGTGTTAATTTTTTAATAACCAAAAGAACACAAAAAACAATTTGTGAGAAGATGGGGGAAGAGAATAAAAATAGGGTTAATCTCAGTTTACTATCCTGAAGATTCTGGGTTTTCAACATTTAATACATGAAGTTTTTTTCACCCCAGAGTGGTACATAAAGTCATAATTTTGGGATACTTTCATACATCCGTTAAGTTTGATGTTAAATCAGCCGTTAACTGATGACGTGATGCTCATGTGGACAGTGACTAGGCACCACGTGTCATAGGTGCCCACATAAATATTTAAAATTTTAAAAAAATTGAAACAAAAAAAAAAATTTTAAAAAAGTTTCTAGGCTGTCCCCTAGCTCTACCCCAAGACTTTCTTCTTCGAACCCAAACACCACCAGACTCCTCATCCGCAACGACGGAAACTTAATTTACAGCACATGGGAGAGCTTCGCCTTCCCCACTGACACCATGTTGCCGAACTAGAGCATGACCGGAGCGAATTTCACCCTCATCTCCAACAATGACAAGTTCAGCGTCGTCAACGCGAGTAATTTAGTCTTCAACGACACCGACGTCTATCAGAGTCTCTTCAACGCTTTCTAGTCTTTGGACTCCGAAGGCAAAGTGCAGCAGGCAAATGGCGAGTCGTTTATCGCCTCCGATTTCGACCTGAATCGATCTCGAATACTGACGATCAATGACAATGGGAATTTCAGAATTCACAGCTTCGATCCCAGTCTATGGCAATGGAACATCGTCTAGCAAGCCGGGTATGAATTTTGCAAAGTCCACGACACGTGCAGGCCGAACGCCATCTACTTCAGCGACGGTTCGAGCTCCTTTTACTGCATGTGCGCACCGGGATTTAGAGAATCCGCCGGCGAAATCAAAGATGGAGGGTGCGAAAGGAAAATTAAGCTCACGAATTTGGGGAACAACAAATTTGAGCGGCTTGATTACGTGAATTTCATGGGCGGCTCCAACCAGACCAATCAATTTCAGCGTCTGCAAATCGAGATGCCTGGCGAGAAACGATTGCCTCAGATTCATGTTCAAATACGATGACAAAGGCTATTGCGTGCTCCAGCTTGAGAGATTGTTATACGGGTACTGGTTGCCGGGATCCGAAACCGCTATGTTTCTCCAGGTCGAAAAATCAGAGACTGACAAGTCGAATTTTACAAGGATGACGGAACTGCTGGAGATGACCTGTCCCGTTCAGAAAAGCCTCCCGCTTCCGCCAGAGAATTCCAACGCGACGACAAGGAACATTGTGATTATATGCACCCTTTTCGCGGCGGAGCTGATATCCAGTTCCGACATGCAGAGGAGAAAAGGGAGGGAGGGGTTCAAGGGTTGAGGTAGGGGACAGCCCAGAACCTTTTTTTTTCTTTTTTAATTTAATTTTTTTTGTTTCAAAATTTTTATTTATTTTTTAATATTTATGTGGGCCTCTATGACATGTAGTGCTAGTTATTGTCCATGTGAACGTCACGTCACCCGTTAACGGCTGATTTAACAGTAAACTTAACAGATGTATAAAAGTATCCCAAATTTTTGACTTTATGTACCACTCTAGGATGAAAAAAAAATTCATGTATTAAATGTTGAAAATCAAGAAATTTCAAGGTAATAAACTAAGATCAATCCAAAATATAAATGAAGAGAATCCTACGCTGAAATATTTATCCCAAAGAAGAAAAATAGATCTTTATGGCCGTGAGCATTTGATGAACTTTACCATGGACCATTGTCCTCACTGCTCTGCCACCAGTTTTCAGAGTGGCACTGAAGCTTATGGCTGGTCTACATGCATCCCATTAGACATGTTTTAGTATTAAGATGGCAGGCTTTTTTTGATCGACTCGAACTGAGTGATCTCTTTACGGAAATGGATCCCCGTTGGATCCTTTTCTTAAGGATATTTTGTGATTGTAATTGTTTATCGTACATTGTGGGATCAGAAATTATTTTAAAATTTAAATTTTTAAAATTAAACATAAATAGTACCTAACAAAAATTAACCATACGATATACGATGAATGGTCACGATCACATGATCCCTAGGATCTCTAAAAAAAGGATCCACCAAAAATAATGTTTTACTGAGAAAAAATGTGATAGAGAAAAAATGTGATAAAGATTTTCTTAGAAGTAAGATTTTTTGTGAATTTTTTATCATTTTATATTTTTTGTACAAAGTTTTATACTTTGATGCACAAATTAATGTTAAACAGTGAGGTGACATAAGTCGATAGAGAGTTCCACTTTTAGAGTCTCATTAGCATTTCTTTTTTTAGAATTTAGGTTTGCCCAAACTTTCACGTCTCGATCTCAAGCTTGTTCAGTAAATATTTATTTAAGGGTTTATATTAAAATTAAACTTTCTAATTGACGTAACTTATTATTTTAGTCTTGAAATTAAAGATTGTTTAATTTTGTCTTTGAAATTGACCTAAAACATCAATTTAGTCTCTACAGTCCAATTCCATCAAATTCCTCGCCAATTTCAGAAATTAAAATGGCGAGTTAGATCAATTTCAAATACTAATAGTAAAAAACCCTCTTGTTTAAACACGCATGTTGAAACTTGGTCCAGTTCTGAGTTCTGGCGTCCCCAGAATACCATGCACGAGTAGAGCAGTTCAAGTTAATAAACTTAATTATATGAAATGGCCTTGCAGTAACTTACTACAAGAGACTAGAGGACCCAATTACATTCGTCACCTTCAAACTTTTGGGAGACAATTTGATTGAAAGTAACTTAAAAGGAAAGTTGGTTTCAAAGTTGGGTAATGCTAGGGAGACCAATTATATTTAGACTAAATTTTGTAAATTATATATGACGTAGTTGTTGATAATTGAGTTACTTGAGTTTAATTAACATATTTATTATCTATCAGTGACACACCACATAATTTACAAATTTGATATAAAAAATTAGTCTACCTAACATTACTCTAGAACGTTAAGCAAATGATATTAGTTTAAGTATATCTACCGCTCTCCTTCTGGGTATCTTCAGCAAAGAGATGTTCTTGTTTCCAACTTCTCAATTATATTGATAGAGACCTCCACCCGCCAAATTTTCAATAAAAAAAAAACAGAGAGAGAGAGGATCTTCGTCGCATCCTCTTTGTGAGAATTCCGGGAATTCTCAAATCACATCTATTTATTATAAATCGTGCGGTCAATTTTTGTCAGGTACTGTTTATATTCAATTTTAAACAAAAAAAAAATTTACAATGATTCTAACTGCATGATATATGATAAACGAATGTGATTAGAGAATTTTCAGGATCTCCTGGATCCTCCTGGAAAAACAGATGCCACACATCACTATTTGTAGCCACAAAATCCATTAAACATGACAACTGAAATCTGGGATCATTTGAGTGTCTAGTTGACTAGTTGGTACGATGATAGGGTTACGGTGCGCCGCCCACAAATGTATTAAGGGGTGTGATATTCATGCATCTTTTTTTACTTTTCATATATTTTTTAAAATGTTTTGCCTTCAGATCAGATGAATTGAAGAAAATCAAAAGATAATAAATAATAAAGAGTGTGTGAAAAGTAAAAATATATGTGTAAATAATACACCCCATTTATTAAATGTCGAAAATCACTGTATGTGCCTATACGTGCTTCCCATAACTAGTAAAATTAATAAATGTTTTAGTACACAAATCATGAGTTGGTAGTCAAGTGGTAAATGTCGGATTATAAGGTTTTTTTTTAAAACTAAAAACTAGATGTCTTGAGTTCAAATATGCCGCTGGTGTCGAAGCCAAACTTGTGGTCAATAAAGGCTGAAATGCCTCTGCGAGTCTTCCTGGACCCCGATATGGATGGATAACTGTGGCTTGCCGCCAGTCGTCCCCCTATTTTAAAAGAATAATAAATGTTTTGGTACACATGTGACAAATGTGTTTTTTTTTTTTTTGGCAAACGATATTATCTATACTAAGGAGGTATGAGAGTAGGCTAAGCCTCACAATAGGCTAGTAATAATGTGGTTCAAATTCGCATTTGACGATAATTAAACCTAAGACCTCTCACTTACAAGTGTAGAGGAATATCACTAAACCGTAGTAATAAGTAGCTAACAAATGTGTGCATGTATAGGCACATTTGAGGTTCCATGCATACATTTTCCAACACTAAAGGAATTAAAGAGCATGGAAGCTCATATGTATGCATGGACTGTAAAACTTTTTTTTCTTTTTAACAAATAATATTATATATACTAAAAAGGTGGGGAAGTGGGTTAAGCCTCACAATAAACAAGCAATAATATAGTTTAAATTCGTCTTTGGTGAGAATCGAACCTAAGACTCTAAGACTTAACTTTTAATTTTTTTGAGCAAACAATATTAACTACACTAAAGGGGTGAGGGCGTGGATTAATGCCTAGTTTGGTATTGCATTAAAAAAAAAAACTACTTCACTTTTAAAAATACAGTTTATCAAACGTTTAACTAAAAAGCGCAGCAATCCCAAACTTGCCTTAAGACTCATAATGAACTAGCAATAATGCAGTTCAAATTTGCTTTTGGCAAGAATCGAATATAAAACTTCTTACTTACTAGTAAAAAAGAATATCACTAAACCGTAATACTAAGTGGCTATGTTATATATAGCAAAGAGAATGGAAGAATTGATGGATTATTTTTGTTGCCCATGGTTGACCTAACAAGATTAACAGTCCTAGCTACAACTACTTAATTTGTGATCATCAATCAAATTAATCACCTCCTAATTACATTCATAAATACACTTGCAAAAAACCCACACTTCCTCCCGAAATCCCCAAACTTTAACAGACAAACCTACTTCCTCCTAAGATTACCAAAACAAACCTTTATTTTACTCATCCCAACACGTGACAAAACTGGCCCCATCAAGTATTACACACGCATCGACTACCAAACGTCTCCACGTGTCCTCCAAAACTGCAGTTTTTCCAACACTATTCCTTGGCTTCATGCGCACCAGTCATTTGATTCACTACCAATTTTCCATCCCTCAATTGAATCCCAGCACTGCCTCTCTCTCCTCTCTTTCTCTCTCTAAAACTAAAACGTCCCCCAAATTCCCAAAACGAAATATAAAGTTAAAAAAATAATGGTGATTGAATGACTCGATGTGAGCCAGAGTCACCAGACCCACCCGCCACCGCGTGAAGGGCCGTCTCCCGTCGTTTACCCTGCCCCCTAAAACGACGAGACACGTCACTTCCACCGTATGATCCGCCCCCACCCGGCAAAACCAAAATGTTGGGTCAACCCGCCATCCAGGCTCTCACATTCTGGCTCTCAGAGCACCCGTCCATCGTCGGGTTCCGCTGGTCCCACACCCACTCCTGGGGCTCCACGTGGTCCTTCCTCTTCACCGCCATCGCCGTCTACATAAGCCTCTCCATCCTTCTCCACCTCTTCCTCCTCGCCGTTAACCGGTCGGGTCGACCAGTCCCGCTCGGACCTATACCCGCAATCCACAGCCTCGCGATGGCCCTAATATCGTTCACAATCTTCGCCGGGATCACCCTCTCCTCCGCCGCCGAAATTCACGAGACACGGTGGTTCTGGCGGCGGTCCAAAACCCCATTCCAGTGGCTCCTCTGCTTCCCGCTCGGGACCCGGCCGTCGGGTCGGGTATTTTTCTGGTCCTACGTGTACTACCTGTCCAGATTCCCCCACATGCTCCGCACATTCTTCACCATCCTCCGCCGCCGGAAGCTTGTCCCCTTCCAGCTCTTCAACCACTCGATCCTCACCGTCATCTCGTTCCTCTGGCTCGAGTTCTCGCAGTCGATTCAGGTCCTCGCCATCCTCTGCACAACGCTCGTCTACTCCGTGGTTTACGGGTACAGGTTCTGGACCGCCGTGGGGCTGCCGGGCGCGTGTTTTCCGGTGGTGGTGAACTGCCAGATTGCGCTGCTGGGTTGCAACGTGGCGTGCCACGTCGGCGTCCTGATGCTGCATTTCATGAAAGGCGGGTGCAACGGGATTGGCGCGTGGGTGTTCAATTCGGTCCTCAACGGTGTGATTCTGTTGGCATTTTTGAATTTTTACATCAGAATTCATCTGGGGTTTTTCAATAAGAAGGGGAAGGGAAGAGGTGTCAGCAGCGGAGCTGGCGGTGGCGATACGGCGGCCAAGTCCGTTGGAGTTAAGGACAAGGAGCTTTGATGGTGTAAGATGCAATTTTAGGGGGGCGGAAATTAAATTTTTGATGGGAGGGTAGGTTTTTGGAATTTGTACATGGTCCACAAATTAATACAATTACGATGACGGAAATTTTATTTTTCTGGTCAATAATATGCTTCGGAAGAATGAAGTATTAGGGAAGAATCTGGAACTCAACGGTTGCAAATATTAATAATATAATATACACTGATGAATATTAAAAAATCACTCCTAATGAAAGATTTTGTTCAAGACAGAGGACGGTTTTCTATAATATACACTGATGCATATAGCAATTCATTAGATATTATAACGTTTAGTTTTAATAGTGTGCGTTGAGGGTTAATGCAATCTTGGAAGTTTTATACCCTAAATTAGGTCTTTTAGTTTGGCAAGGAATTTGTACCTCATTATATTTGAATTTGGATATAGTTGATTACTTAGTTATAAACAACTTTTAGGGGTCAGCTTGATAACTATTTTGTGGAATAAATATTGGTGGAAGAAATGGCCGAGAATGTCTCCCTTTCTTAAGGGTTGTTAGACAATTATTAAGGAGTTGTTTGGTATTCAATTTGAAAACAACTTATTGGTTTCAAAAATGATGACGGTAGTTAAATTACTTAGTACTCAATAGTTTAAAAACAAAAAATTGGATTCAAGAAGGATATCAAACAACCCCTAAGCTATTAGTGTTTTTCTATACAACGCTCTGGTACTATATGAGTGGGAGAAATCGAACCTAAATCACACAATGAACAAACAATAATAGTTAAGTATTAAACTCATTATTCAGGTGAACTGAACTTGAGACCTCTTATAAATGAAGACGAAAATCACTGAACCGTAATGCTAATTACTACGTTACCAAAGGTCTGAGTAAAACACAGTTTGTGCAGATAACTTAGTTTCGTTTTGTACTGGCGTTAATATCAAAGATGGGAGATTTAATTTGTTATGGAAATGCGTATATCAAATTCCAAATCAATTTGGCAAGGACACTTTAAATTAGAGTTTGGGCTTGATGAGGAAGTGACTTGGACCACAAGTTTTTGAGTCCTCCATGAATGCGAGCAATTACGTTGTGAACGTTCCCATGTTGATATGTATCGATCAGAGGTTCAGATGGGAGAGATGACACAGAAACAGAAAGGAAAAAAATACATATTACATTTTGATTTGTTTGAAATGCTGAGGTTACCAAGCATATGGAATTTCATGAAAATATCGATGCATGCTTTTTCATAGCTGAGGAGAATTTGGCGTAAAATTAGCAGTCGAAAGGGAAGTTGTTTGGATGAGAAAGTTCATATCGGAATTTGGAGTTGTAGTTTGAAAGTTAAGGAGAAAGAAAAAGAAAAAAGGGTAAATTACATACTAGCTCCTCAGGTTTGAGGTCTATTACGATGCATGCTTTTTTATAGCTGAGGAGAATGTTTTAAAGATGTTGTATGAGGTTGTAATAGATCTCAAACCTGAGGGGCTACTATGTAATTTACCAAAAAAAAAAAACTAACCCAAAAGAATAAGTTGGGCCTAAATGAATGTTGGTCAGGGCCTCCATATTTGTGGTTTGACTCAAATCCAATGAACCATATAACTAACTCCACTTGATTGTGTGTCAAATTTTATTTGATTTCAGGCAATTGACTAACTCATAGTTCTCAAGTCTGCATTACTACGAAACCTTGGTTGGCATATATGGTCCATACGATTGCATATCATAGCACCGTCACATAAACAATTTCACACTTGTGCGTGAAGAAAAAGAAAGAAACAAAGGGTTACAAATCATGCATAGGTTTACCTACTTGTACACCGATTCGTAACTAACGTAATTTGACGTACAAAATTCATAATCGAAACTGTTTATCTTCTTTATAGTCATCAAAAGATCATCTCTTAAAAAATATTCAATTTGGAGCTCGTTTAGTCATCCATAAGTTTTAAATAAATCGATTTAGCATTCTCATGATAAACCGTCTAATTTGTATGCATATGAATGACTAAATGAGGTCAAAATTGAATTCTTTTTTTTTTCTTTTATAAATATCATACTTAAAACATGATAAAGAAAATGAGCTGTTTTGATTATGAGGCTTGTACAACGATAATATGCTAATCACAAGTAGAGTGGACAGGTAGGGGCACTCATGCGGTGGACACAAGTATTTTTCTTAATAAAAACAAGCTAAACAATACACAATTTGAAGAGTGTGTTAAAGCTTCTAATTTGTGTTTAAGAAAATATTTACGTATGAATCCGACTGTAATATGTAAATAAATAAATAAACTTCTTATTAGTAAAGAGGAAAACCATGTCTTTAGAGAACATCATCGATCATATAAACTAGGATTAAAAATTGAAAAAGAAGACCAAACTTACACCCACATGCCTATGTCACGACAAATGTGGATTGAACCATTTCGCAAGAGCTTAAATTTGGAAATTAAAATTGCAAATTAAATGATGTGAGTATAACCATTATTTCATTATTCATTGAGTAATGATAAAGAGATTAAATTTGGAGATTAAAATTACAAATTAAATGATGTATCACAAATAGAAATGAACACGTCTATCAACATTTAAGTAAAATCAATATCCCAGCCATCTTCAAATCCAAACAGAAGAATTGTATTATTTTGAAAGAATAATTACATATGGCAAGCAAGAAAATTAAGTCGGTGGCAGGCACCATATCTAAATTGCTACAGTGCCAAGAATGGTATAGGACTAAGATGGGTCTGGATCCACGTTACACGGCTCCACATTAAAAATTGACTCGGTCCAAAACTTTGTCACCTACCATACGGGCAGTAAGCATAATCGTTTGACTGCCCCAGCGTCTTGGAGGTTTCTTGGTGCTCTCGCTCTACCACACGCAAGTCTGCAAATCTCTAGTTCTGAAATAAGAAATAGACGCATGGTTATAAGCATCTTTTGTTAGCAAATTGTGGTCTCTCAAATAAGATTATTTAAAAAATCTCTCAACGATAGAGGATTGTGTTGTCACGTATCTATTTTCTACCCTCTAATCCGCCAACCAAACGGATACGTAGGTTGCACACATTTATGTTCGTTATCTGTGAAAACATGTATACATGAAAAGATTAATGTCAGGGCGACCAAATGTTTAAACCATATCTGCGAACCAAGTGATGTGTCATCTCCATCAACGCTTAATTAATAATACAATCATCTACAATTACATCATTTGAATTGCAAATTTAGTTTAAAAAATTTGATCTTCCTAGCATTGCATATATAAAAATATTACGTGGGATAACTAATTAGTTTTCTTCCTCAAGAATCAGACCCATGAACTTGGACTTGACATCAGGCTTAGTTGGAGTGAGTTTGGAAAGAACAAGCGCTTGTCCACCTTCAATTTTGGAAGTTAGGTTGCTTGACAACTTACATGAAACAATTTTATTCAACGTTGCGTTCTGATCTAGTAATACCATAACACATTATAAAAAAACTTACACATAATATTGTATCGTTATACCAATACGGTACTATAAATCCGTCATGTACAAGTCTTTCTTCAACTTAAACCAAAATGGTTAGACAGTCGATGCATTCGTTTAAATGGTCCCAATGGACATAATCTATCCCGTATAAAAAAAGCTAATAACAAGGCCGAAGGTTGGACCATGAACTGAATGAAGACATGGACTGTCCAGCTAAAACCTCCCCTGGCCGAAGCAATTCCCCACTAACCAGGAAGGCTCATATGATAGGATAAAGATTGTTTGCTCTCTTACTTCCGGTGCTTTCTCGTGCCTTTCTGTTTGTGTGGTCAAGGTTAAGTCACGTTAACATTTTATATTACTATTCATTTTTATCTTATTATCTCTATAAAAAATTAATATAAAATATTGACGTGATTTAACCATGATCACATAAAACAGAAGGCACGGAAGGACGTCGAAAATAAGAGAGCAGACAATCCTTGTCTCATATGATATTGTCAGACGGTGATGTATTGACTGGTAAGTTCAAAACCAATGCACTTTTATTCTACGGCTGCGATTGGTTGCTGAATTGTGGACGGAAAGTAATGTTGTAGCATAAAGTTATTGACTTTCTTAAGTTCAATCGTTCATCCGTGTGACCGATTTTTATTAAATGATGATTTAGATCACTTGTTAGAAATTGTTCGAGCGTGTAATATAACATGAATTGATAATTAGATATTAATTTTAGGGTCTATCATGTATCTGTGTCAACTCTAGACACAAAACCTCCTCTATAACCCATTACACCTTGTTTTGGTACCCTGTTACATGATAGTATTATAATATGGATAATGCTAGGGAGTTAAAATTTGTAAATTAAATAATGTGTCGCCAATAAGAATGAACACGTTTATCAGTGCTTAAATAATAATCCAATCATCAACTTCCACAATATTTTTGAAAAACTATATACTTGTTTTAAGCAAGGGGTACCCTTTTCAAAAAAGTTTTACAAAACTTTATTTTTAGACTCATTCACCCTTATTTTTCGTCCCTTCGAAAATTTAGTGGCAGAGCTCATGTTGTCAATGAGTATTACTGACAGAAGCTGACATGTAGGTGGATCCCTCCTTTCGATATAAACGTTCTAACTTTATTTTTTACTGTTGTTTATTTATGCTCTGACATCACTTGTGTGACAAGTGTTCAACCTTGCTCACATACTCACTCTAGAATTAGTTACTTTAGGTTTAAATTAGTTCGCAATTACTACATCACCATCACTTTATGACTTCGTTATTTTTCAAGAGTCGACCAATACAACTTGATTCAAGTGTCCTCGTTGAATTGGGTGTCAATGAAAAATCTTTATGTGAGCTGCAAAAAGAGACCAAAAAGAAGACAACATATAGTGATCTACCGTGGATCTTTATTTTGTAGGAGTCTATTAGCCCATAATATTACGAGGAGGAATCAAACTGAAAATCTCAAGCACACACGGATGGCCATCCAAACTACGAATGAGCTTCTTTAATAAAATTGTGTACATTATTGATGATAGGGAATTTGGCCACTAAGATTGTCAAGGAGGAAATTTGAGATAATTTTGGTGCGGGATTTTGACTTTTGTTTTTCCACCAACGTGATCGGTGCGTTTTCAGAATTTCCAACTTCATAACTTTCGAATGAGATCCTCTTATTCTTTTTGTGAGGATCTCGAAGATCTTCCAATTGCATCCATTCATTGTATATCGTACGATTAAAAATCATTGTAAATCTTTTTTTTTTTAAATTAAATATAAATAATACATGATGAAAACTACCTACACAATGTACGATGAACGGATGTGATTGAAGAATCTCTGGATCCTCACAAAAAGAATCCTCATTCATTAACTTTCGCTCTTAAGTGATTATGATATGGATAAAAAAATTAAATAAAAGAGAAATGCTAATGAGATTCTCTTAAAGTAGATTATTCATGGATTATCTGTCACTTTATAGTTTAACGTTAATTCATATCAACATAATAAAATATTGTGCCAAAAACAAAAAATTTATAAAAAGTCTCGCTTTTGAGAAAATATCCTTAGTATTTCTCTTAAATAAAGTTTAAAATACTTTTCATGGAGTACCTAATAGCACTTTCTAAAGAAGAAGAAAAAAATCACTGTTTATAAAAAAAAATCTTTAGTAATGCATGAATTTAAATTTGGGTATTGTTCTTCACACATTTGTTTTTACTTTTCACACATTTTTGTTAAACATTGTCTATTGATCATCTTTAATTAATTCGATTCGGCAAACGAAAATTGAAAGTGGTGTGTGAGACCTAAAAATAGATATGTAGATATCATCATCCTTAATTTTTTGTCAAACATTGTCAAATTGTCAATACTCTTTCACTTTTATAAGTCTTTTGGATTTTAATCTATTGTAAAATCAATTCAAAACCGTAAGTTCATAAGAAATTAAAATTAAAAATTAAAATGCTTGTTTAACACTTTGTCTATTTGTGCCATTTAGTCTTACGGTAATAATATTATTCTTCATTTGTAAGCGAGATTGAGAGGTCTTAAGTTTAATTTTCTCCAAAAACGAATTTCAACCGTATTATTACTAGTACATTATGAGACTAAGTCCACATCTTCCCATTCGTATGGATAATATTGTTTGTTTCAAAAAGAATAAAAAAACACTTTGTCTATTTGTGGAAGTGCTTTTGGTGGTAAAATATCGAAGTTTAGATACGTGATGCTTTTCTTTTTGTTGCCCATTTTATATCTACCCAATAAAAAGCCAAATTAAAAAAAAGTTTTCAAAAACTTCAATTTCATGGTAGTAACTTGTAAATCATGAACTGATAACCTAAACACTCTCAACATCATTGTTTACATAAAGCCGGTGACTAAATTTGTAAAGTTAAATTTGCGGGGAAGGGAAGGGGTGTTAAAACAAAATTGTGGTTTTCCAATCAATTATATTGTTGTTTTTCTTCTTCTATTACTTTTATATTTTTTTCTTTTAACTAATGTACTGAACCAAATTGCTTCCTCTTCGCCCCATCAAAAGCAGTTGTCGGGGTCATTTCCGATGAATCCGACGAGTACGGATAACATGCTTTACGAAGCTCGTCATACCTTCCGACGTCGAAATTCTCAAGCTTCATGAGGCGCTTCTGCTTAGCCTGAAACCGGCTATGGTAAAACCCTTCGAAAGAGGGCTCTATCGACGTCCTGAGGAAGAAGGCGTATCCAGCCATGAAATACATTGAAGTAACGTAGAAGCAGATGGGTTCCATGATGTCCCATGAGAGCTCCCAGAACGTGAGCCTCATGAATCCGGCTGTTTGGACAACCAAAAAGCCAAGACCGCACCAAAGCTCCTTTCGGACAAGGGACTTGGCCTTTCGGTCTATCTCAAACTTGTGCCTCTCCATGTCTTCCAATTCCCTAATTCTGGGGTCATCGGAGTCGGGTGGTGTTCCTGGAATGGGAAATAGTTCTTGAATTGCTTTGGCTACCTGCAGTAACCAAACAGGTTGAAACAATTGGGTAAAGCATGCTCAGCCTATCACCAATTAATCCTCACCAACTACAGGAAAAACTTTTACAAAAATTAACACAAAAACCTGTGTTTTCAACTAATTTTTCAAAAACAATAAAAAAAATTCTGGATTGAGGGGAAAAACTTATAAATAAATTTCGAAGTTATTTCAGGACACATGGAATTTTTCTCCAATATACCGGAATTAAATCTAACGACATTAAATAATGAAATATGCCATACATACTCTGGAATAGTGAAGAGTGATGCAAGCAAAAAGATAAGTATATGGGGACAAAGTGGCTAAACCCCAAACCTAATTAGGTATGCAGACCAATTACAAATCCATAAAAGCAAATCCGAGAAGTAAATCTGCAAGCTATCATTACTAAGGTATGCAGACCAAATACAAATCCATAAACAAAAAGCAAATCCAGGAAGTTAATATGCAAGCTATCATTACCTAAAGAAAAGCACTTCACTTTAAAAAAAAAAAAAGCACTTTTCCTATTTCAAACATTCCCATAATGTTTGTTGAGCTCAGCAAACGCTTTTCCACCACCCAAAAAAGAGAAACAACCACAGCCAGCTTTTCAAACTTTATGCCACCCAAAACACTAAAACACCCTCTAATTTTCTAATTTGAGAAAAATATGTCCTATATTTTTTTAGAAAAATTAATGAAAAGTTTAAAAGATAAAATTATTTTTAATGAAAAATAACAAATAAAAATATAATAAATAATACCAAAAAAAATAAAAATGAACAATAATGTTTTGTTAAAACTTTCTTTTTTATTTTAATAGTATATGCCCCTTTTAAATAATTTCTTCCTATTTTTCATCTACACCGTGCCGCACAAGATAATAGAATACTGCTAATCTCCCACCCCCTAAAACAGCCACCCAACAAAAATGTAATTTTAATATTATTAATTTTTTGTTAATTTTAATATTATTATTTTTAATTCACTGTGGTCTCCTCCCAAAGATGAAAAACAAAATCTGCCACGGTGAAAGACTGACACCCTTTTTCACGTTTAAAGGTCTCGCCTGTTGAAGAAAACAAAATAAAATCATACAAACTATATTAGATTTCGGAATTTCCCATATCACACTAAATAAAATTCACTGCTCGTAAATTTAATTCTACCCTCTCGGCCATCAGACCAAGATCACCACAACATTTATCTGAATTTCTGAAACACAAAAAAATTATAAAAATAAACAAGAACAAAAATTAAATTTGAATTTAAATTCGGATAAATTAAAAACGATAATTTAATTAGGATTTAATGAATTAAGAAATTAATTTTTTACCTGTTCGGGCTTCAAACAAACGGAATTTCCCAATACGATGACGGAGCCGTTTTCGTCCAGCGATTTCGCAAACCCCAGACCCATATCCGGATCCTCGCAGCTTTCCCTGCAGATCCGAACAAACTCCGAATACGATACCCAGCTTTTCCGGACTTCTCGAAGCTTCAATTTCACCGCCTCCAGCTGGGCCACCCTTAGCAGCTTCTTTGTTTCCTCCGTCGTCAATCCCAATTTTGCCACCGGCAAGCTCTCCGGCTCGGGCTCCGGCGGAGCCAAACCGTCCAATCGGATCCGATCCTGGCCAATGGCCATGACTTTGAGCTTCTCCATTAGGTTTTCCCCCATCGGCAAAGACCAGATCGCTGGCTTCTGGAAATTTCCCGCCGACGGTGTCTTGTGGAGGAACCTCCGGAACATGGCATTGTCACCCGGGTCGGGCGCGATGCTCGTCTCGCGAGGCTTGGAAGCGGGTCGGATGTGGACCGCCGACGACGAAATCCGGCAGTTTCTGAGGGTTTGGGTCGACGCCTTGGAGATGTTGAACAGACGCTGGGCTAGGGTTTTCTTGAACGCCATTGTAATAATCTAGAGAGAGAAAATCGAGAGAACTGTAGAGATAGAGAGAGAGAGCTGTTGAAGCTTTGTACTGGTTATTGAGCGTATCAACAATGGAGGCCTCTGGCTCTTTATATAGGTGTCCCAATTCACGGGACGACCACGATTTTTTGAAACCCTCGCGATATTTCCACTAGTTGGGAGAATTAAAGTCGGGAGATGTTTCGATTTGCGCGGCTCCCCATGACTCTAGCGATGAACTTATCCCTTACGTTCTGGGCATATTCGTTTTATCCGTACTCCCGAGTTTATCTCGCTCGTTCCAATTTATCGTACGCGGAAAAATGCAGCCGCGTTCACGGGTGATAAAGATCAGTGGTTGGTGGATTAATCACCGTACACGTGGATGGTTCGCTTCCAGCAATGTGACCTTATCGACTGTGGACGGTCGGATTAGATGACTCTGGTTACCTGTTTGACGTTGACTGATTTTTGTGTGGACTAGCGAGGTGGAGTGGCGTAATGAACACGTGGAAGGTAGAGAGGCGATATTAGAGTATCCTAGTGAGAGGGCTTTATATGAGATTGGAAAAATAATAGATATAGCCTATTTTAAAGATCTAAGGAATTTTTAAGATTTTATAAAAGAATCTCTCCTAATTAGAGGTTATATTTTTTGGGCTCTATATGAGGATATATATATATATATGTAGTAATTTGATTGAACGATGATTTTTTTTCTTTTCTTTTGTGTTAGCTTTTCTTAAGTTGATATTGGGACGTGATATCTTAAATTATTTTTTTATAAACCCTTCAACCTAAAAAGTTCAAATTGTGACAAATTTAGATTTCATCACTTATGAATCGTTCGTTTGATTAAATTCTCTTATCTCAATCTCATTTGTTGAAGAAACAAACCCCCACTTCACCCTCTGAAATAATTTGATTTTTTTTTCAATACATTGTAAAAGACTTGTTGAATACTTAAAATAAACACACATTATATGCTTGTTCCCATGTTTTCATTATGTTTCAATAGCTCATAAAAGATATGTCATTCTATTTTGTAGTTTATGATGAAATCATATATATTTTAAGCATAAACATACACTTATATACACGAAATATAATATATTTAATTAAATTCGCCTAGCCGCCTTGCCGCCTATCTAGACCCCATCTAGCTGCCTAGGCGTTAAGCCCCAGCTCACCATCCAACTAGCGTCTAACGTGTTTTAGAACCTTGAATTTTCTCCATAGATATGTCAAATTCTACGTTTTAACCCTTCTTCTTTTTCAGATCATTTGTTGTAAACTTGGTTTTGTCAAATTTTGTATGTTTCCAACACATGTTTTAATCTCCCTCTCTGTGAAATCCCGTTCCCGGATTTCATTATTTAAAAATACATATATTCGTATTATTAATTTCAACACGTTTATATTTACGACTTATGTTTTTTTTATGGAAAACGCATCGATTGCATATTGTGAAAAAGGAAGCCACGTGAGTGGCTGGAAAAAGAAAAAAAAGAAGAAGAAGAAAAGAAATTAGAGCTACCAAATGGCAGCTAAAGAAAAAATAAAGGAGGCTGCTTGATGGCATAAAAGGAGCGGGGAAATAAGGGAGAACAGGAGAAAAATGAGGGAAGGGGGGTGAATCGAGGGAGGAGAGAGGAAGCAGGGGGATGGATCAGAGAGGGGACGAGAGAGAGAGAGAGCAGCAGCACGGGATCAAAGATCCCTACCCAATTCGTGCGACTCGACCTGGACGGAAGTAATGGAACCGTGGGTTCCTCCGGCCAAATTCCGGCGTTTTGAGCCAAGCCACCACCTGAAAATGACTCACCATTGTTCCACATTTCTGTCTCATAAAATAAAAAATGGAGTTGATTGGGCTCGGATTTGGAAGAACTGAAGTCGTCGGCTTTGAGGGCACCCGGCTGCAATCCACCCATTTCTGAAACAATTATCTTCAATCACCACCACCAAAACACTTTCCTTGAGGCCTAGAACAAATCCCAAATAGCTATTGGGCGGCAGAACACCAGTGGTGTCGAATAAAAAACACCCAAATTCAAGGGTTTTCGACGGATTGAGGCAGTTTTCAGGTGTTTTTTGGCCAAATTGGACTTCGGCACATGTATGAAATTTGCTCCCCTCATTGAGATCTTCATTCCTGTAAAATTTGAGAAATTTTGGACATAGTTGAATTGTCCGGTGAGTCATGGTGGCCGGCCACCGCATGCGGCGGCGGAGTGGAGCCGAGACCCCACCTGACCTTCTTAGACTAAATTGGATACCCTGATTCCATATGTGATGTTTGATTGACGAAATCTCGTCATATGACTATAGTTTGATAGAGACTGCCACTTGGACATTAAATGAATCGACGATCCGACCGTTGGATCGTCATCAAACTTTAATATGTTATAGTATGTAATATTTGAGGATCATAGGAACTTAAGGATCGGGAGACCAACGTATGGATCTTTCCAAATTGGATTTGTAAGTTTGTAAAATAAAACGGTAACCGTCATTGGAAATTGTGATTGACGAAGATCCGACTGTCAGATCGTGAAGAGACATCAGTATGATGTTCTATGAGTATAATGAGGACTTTAGGAAGTTACGGATCCAAAATCCGATGGGTGGATCTTTCGGATCGAATTATGTAGAGTTGTGGATCCTATTATTGACCGAGAGTTGACTTTTGGTAAACATGTCTCGAAACGTTCTAGATACTAGAATTGATACTACCAAAGATTAAGTGAAGTCTAGTGGACCCACATTGGTTAGAGAGTGACTTGAATATATGTGATAGGGTTATTACCTTAATTTCTTATATTCGTATCCGTTGTGAATATGAATTGGTTTTATAAATATGATCTCTATTGAAATGTGATTCTTATATATTTAGCCATAGACCTATGTTTATTAAACATGATTTGGCTTGTGTACTGATGATGATTGTGACGTATATGTGTTTAATTATCTTTTTAGTAATGTGAATGATAAATATGATATATGTTATGACAATGAGATCTTAGAATCCTATTAGAAGTAGTTTGTAGAATTTATATGATTGTGTTACATATTAGTTGGAGGCCATGAGAAGTTGATAGTGTAGGTGACTACGTTGTAAATTATAGGGGTTGAGGTAGTGGTAGGTTGAGTGGTCCAGAATCGTATCTATTCGGATTCCGTTGAGTGATGGTCCGAAATCCCTTTTACTCCGCGATTCCATTGAGTGATGGTCCGGAATCGTATCCATTCGGATTCCGTTGAGTGATGTCTGGAATCCATTCTACTCCACGATTTCGTTGAGTGATGGTCCAGAATCGTATCCATTTGGATTTCGTTGAGTGATGTCCGGAATCCTTTTTACTCCATGATTCTGTTGAGTGATGGTCTGGAATCCCTTCTACTCCGCGATTTCGTTGAGTGATGGTCAATCATATCCATTTGGATTCCGTTGAGTGATGGTCCTGAATCCTTTCTACTCCGCAATTCTATTGAGTGATGGTCCGGAATCGTACCCTGGGTTGGATATCGTTGAGTGGTTCGAAATCTCATTCTTCGAAGAAGTAGGCTTGGCTTAATTGTGTCACTCTAGCCTTCGTTTTAGTATATTTGTGAATAATGGTTTCCAGAATCTTGTGAATTGAATTAGAAAAGTGGTTGTACATTTGTATGACTCATTCGAGATTTTCTACGATTCAATTATGATTTGATAATATATGAATTTAGAAGATATGAGAATGATTGTTATTATTTTGGCCAGATTAGTTAATTAATGTGGCTAGTGAATGGTTTTGTACTTCGTCGGTTAAATATGATGTATGTTGTGAATTGCAATATCATGTTGGACATAATGATTTATAGGTTGGATGGAAGAGAAGTCGTGATTTTCATAGGGGTTTGTTATGTAGCCCTGAGTCTAGGAATTTCATGCTTGTCAGGTTCTAATAAATGTTTGATTGAGGAATGTTATGCCTTTCGGCTTGAACGGACTGTGATATATGTTGAGTTGTAGCGAATGACGAACTACGAATGGCTTGATCCCTGTTAAGGGTACGTAGGCAGTCTAACGAGGAGGTTAGATGCAACCATAAAGTATATGCAAAATTATTATGCATTTGGATCTTGAATTATATTTTGTACACAAAAAAAAGGTGGGGTACGTTGAGTTACGAGCATTTAGTGACGTCACGTGTCGATCTTAGACGTATGTCGAGATCTGGGCAAGACACTCTCAATTAGTTTTTCGTAAATTTTCTTATTAAATAGTTCACATAAGAATTAATATCTGCTTGTATCTAAACACTTATAATTAGGGCTGGGTTCGGTTCTCAGCAGTTCGGTTTTTTCCCAAAACATAAATCAAACTGAAATTTCGGTTCAGTTCGGTTCGGTTCAATTTTTTTCGGTTTTTCTCGGTTCGATTTTGGTTTTGGTTTTTTTTTTCCTCCTCCAAAAAATAAAAAATTTGGAAATAAGAAAGTTCACATTCAAGGTCGCTTCAGAGTTATCCACATGAAAACCTACAAGTATGAAATCAATTTTACACATCTATATTTGACATAAAAGGAAAGATATGCCATTTGAGAAGTGGTACTACTATCATAACCTTAGACCATATTCAACAACAAAACCATGATGAGAATCCAAAGTTGCTCCACGGTCCACCAACTTCGGGAAAGAACACTACAAGTCTGCAACAAAGAATAAGGCAACAAATTGACATATGCCAACGTTACTGACAAAGTTTAAGTCTTCCAATTTCCAAAGTCCAAACTTAAATAAATATCAAAGTTTAAGTCTTCAAAAAGTCAAATTTAAAATAAACATCACACAACTCAAATAAACCTTCAAGGTTTCATCACTTCATGTCTTGCACAAATAAAATCTTCCAAGTTCCCAAGCCCTAAACCAAATGTAATAAGTAAAATTACCTTTCTCAACTTCTTCACAAAACTCAAATCTCGTCAATGGTTGGCTCATGATGTAATGCTACATGAATTGACCTAAGCCAATTTTGTGTACATATCAAAGCCTCTACCATTTTTGGACTCAAAGAACTACGATATGGATCAATTATTTGTCCACTTGTGCTAAAGGAGGATTCAGAAGCAATGGTTGATACGGGAATAGCTAAAATCTCTTTTGCAACTCGTGCCAAAATA